CGCATTCCATTTTATACCTAAAGTTTTTGTAGCGCTAGTTTCATGAAATCGTAATAAATTCGAATCATACAAGTCTTCGCTTGAGATGTTAATGAGTAACTGGGTGTCGTTAGCGGTTATTTTCTTTAAGATAAACCCAGCGGACTTCAGAGTTTCCAAGATCTGAGACTGTGATTCAATTGCTTCTTTAATGGTATGCCCACCAGATAATATGTCATCTACATATGTCTCTGTCCGTAAAATTTCGGCAGCTTTGGGAAACATTTCTTGAGAATCCTCTGCAAGTTGGTGCAGTGTACGAATGGCCAGAAATGGTGCACAGTTTACGCCGAAAGTAACAGTTTTTAAGTTGATAATCTCTAATTGGGGAATTGAGATTTTTTTGATAAATTATTCTTTGAAGAGAATCTATCATCTGGATGAACCCAAATTTGCCGGTACATTTTTTGTATATCACCGCTGAAAACATATTTGTAAATTCGCCAATTGAGAATTACTGTTATCAATTCAGATTGTAACGTAGGACCAGTATATAAAACGTCATTGAGTGAAAAGCCAGATTTAGTTCTACGGGAAGCATTAAACACAACTCTTACCTTGGTTGTTTTGTGTTCGGGGGCGAACTACGGCATGATGAGGAAGATAAAAAGAGAAGTATTTGCCGTCTGATACAATTTCCCGATAGGAAACGGGTTCCATGTGATTGAGGGATAAGTATTCTTCTAGAACATTATTATATTCTTTTGCTAGCTCTGGAGTTTTCGCAAGAGATTGGTTTATACGAGAATATTGGACTAGGGCTAGAATTCGCGATGCGCCGAGAAATTTTGAATTGGGAAATTCCTTTTTTAATGGTAATCTTACAACATATCTTCCGCTGGCATCTCTTGTTGTTGTTTTCTTATAGAATGTTTCACAATATTGATCATCCTCAGAAATTATGGGTCTTGATGGTATTTCCTCTTGCTCCCAAAATTTTCGTAACGTGTTATTTAGCTCAGCATTTTCAGAAGGGGCTACGGTTGTTGTAAATGTATGTATAGTTTTAGCTTCAATTGGTCCACTTAGAACCCAGCCAAATATTGTGTTGTATGCCGACGCCTGACCGCAAATATTTTTTTTAATACCGCCAATATTGATGAAATGCTCTGAGTCATTACCAATGATTAAATCTATTTGAGAAGAATGATTGAAATTCGGATCAGCTAAGTCTAAACTGGAGATTTGGGAAGAATTAGGAAGCTCAAAAGAAATTGATGGGATTCTCTCTGTGACTTTAGGAAGAATGATTGCATTTACCGTAAATTTAAGATTTACACCGCTTAGCAAATAAAGTAATTTCACATTCTTTATTTGCAGATTGCACTTGACCGCCTATTCCAACAACTTCAAGTTCAGCCTTTTGATAAGGTAATTTAAGTAGAGATCTAATTCTTTCTGTTAAGAATGTTCTTTGAGATCCTGGGTCAATTAGTGCTCTGACTGTAAATAGTTCTCCGAAGTGTTCTATTTGCACCAAAGCTGTGCGAAGTAATATATTGACGTTATTAGAAGAGAAATTGGCCTGTACTTGGCAATTTGGGGAGGATGAGGGGACGTTGTCGCTTTGCTCAGCATCCTGATTCTTAGAAGAGTCGTTTCTTTTCTGCAGTAAAATTTTTGATTCTTTAATATTTTCGTTACTTCGCGGGGTTTTAGATGAATTTTGAGGTTTTTGTAAATGAAGTAGAGTATGATGGTTAGATTTGCAAATAAAACAAGTATTCTGGCTGATACATTTCGATTTAGTGTGGCCTGACGAGAGACAATTGTTACATATTTTATTTTGGAAAACATAATCTATTCTCTGCTGTACTGTGTATTTCCTAAATTTTCCACAAACTCTTAAGTTATGATCTCCATTGCAGAGTTTACACGTGTATTCAAGTTTTTCTTGTGAAGAGTATGACTGTATCTTGGGATTAGAGATAGTAGGAAGGCTGAATCGCTGTTTCGTGGTTTTTATGGATGATATTCTTTCGACAACTTCATATCGATTAACGAGGAACTCATCCATTTGGGCCCAAGTTGGCATTTCCCGCTGAGTTTTAAACGATTGTTCCCAGAGAGCTAATGTATCATCTGGCAACTTAGTTGAAACTAAATATATAAGTATAGGGTCCCATCCTTCCACTTTCACGTTAAGTGCCTTGAGTGAAGTTAAACAATCGGTGACTGTGGAATGAATTTTCTGTATAGACTCACTATTTTCCGAGGTTGCGACAGGGATATTGAAAAGTACTTTTAGTTTGTTATCGATTAATACTCGCTTATTGTCAAATCGTGCCTTTAGTGCATTCCATGCATGATCAAAATTTTCATCACAAAGAGTGTATCGTTTAACAATGGCCCCCGCGCTACCTTTTGTTTTTAATCTTAAGTAAAATAACTTTTGGGCTTTTGGAATTTCAATATTCTCAATGCATGCCGTGGTGAAAAGATCGCGAAATGCTGGCCATTCTTCATAGCTACCAGTAAATGTGTCTATATCACAAGGAGGGAGCTTTATGAAGGATGATCTTGTAGCTAGGGGAAGGGCTTGGGGTAACAGACTTGTGCGGGGCATTGAAGTTTGAACTTCACATGCTCTTGATAGTCTGAGTAAATCCACTATGTGTGATCTACATGCGTAATACGTTTCTGAACATGCGTTAAAGTTAACTTTTGCGTTTTCTTTGAAGTCTTGACTATTTTCGGATCTTGGGGATATCATTAGAGACTCGTATGATGTTTGTAACTTTTTCCATCTGTTTTCAAGGTCCTCCAATTTTGTTTCTAATACAGAGTCTGTCTGATCTTCCATATCAGATTTACCGAAATTAGTGCAAAATGTGATTAAATGGTCGCAATCAAATAGAAATTTTTCATGCTTGACCGATGTGCCGTTTTCTTGAGAAGGATTCATATTGAGATTCTGTATTGATAGAGTATTGAGGATTAAGTACGATTTATGAAATACTGCCTTTTTTTAAATTACGTTAAAATTTGCAAATAGCTAAAGTATAAATTCACTTTTGTGATTGTGATGAGGTTTAGATAGCTTTATTAAATGCAATTTAAGAATAACAATGAAGATCATGCATGTGCTTGTTAGGATTTAGCAGTTAGGTTTATATATGTAGCTATATCGAATAAATAGCAATTTAAAGGGTCGAGTTTAGATGATACGATCCATAAAAAAAAAACGAGCACGAGTACGAGTCTTAAAACAATGTTCAGCACAATTATTTCTACATAAAAATTCAGTAATGCATATATTTTAGTTGATGCTTTCACCAATAAACTAGAATTTGTTAACGGAATACTAGATTTCAGCCAGATTTAGTATAGGAATTGGTATGGAATATGTATAATGAGAATCAATGAGTGGCTATAGTTATAACTATAGCGAAATTAGTATCTAATACAATGTCATTAAATGTCGTTAAAATTTAACTCATTCGCAAATTATAAAAATGTAAGTGAAATCATTCGTTTTAGAAATAAAAACTTTCAACGTTTATCAGAGGTTTACTATTTCTTTTTTTTCTCAAATAAAAAGGCAGGATAGTAGATGTAGGAATATTAGAGTGTTTGCAATATTATAAAATTTTTAAATTATAATAATATTGATTTCAAATCAAATGCTAAATAAAAGTTTGGCTTCGATTCACGGAAAATTTACTATTCGTTTTACCAATAAATTGTTTTTAATAAATTTTTTTTTTTTTTAAGTTATGGAAAGGGAAAAACACCCGTTTTAAACTTCCCTTTGATTTCCGTATTTCCCTTCATGGAAATCAATATACGCAAAAAAAAATTTATCTCAAACAATTTTAAACGTTTAATGTTCGCTGGGATTAATTCATGTGTTTACTTAGTTTATATAAACGAAACCCCAGTGCATAAGAACCAAATAACAGAAAATTAATAATAAGCTGTATTTATAATATTGATGATGATGAAATTAAACATTGTTCCAAATAATAGAAAATATTACCTTGTTATTTAATTTGTTGGTTGCTTACATTTAAATTTTTTTTATAATTTTTTATTTTTTATTTTAATGTTGTTGTATAAATGTCCAGTGATTTTCCTTTGACCGTGCTTTTTTTTTTGCTTTTGTTTTATGTTTGTTTGTTAGGTGGTTGAGAAATTCACCACCACAGTGAAGAGTGAGACAGATATAATTTAAACCAACTGCACTTATGTATTTGCTTTCATGTAAATATTTTAACCGGTATATATATTTTTTTACTTTTATCTTTTTTTTTTTTTTCTCTTTTCTTTTTTAACTTGACAAGTAAATGCTCTTTGTATACATATATGTATTTATTATACAAACAAAAAAAATTTTTAAGCATATACTAACGGATTTTCATGTAAACTTTTTGCTTTTTCCCTTAACGGAATTTTAGCTATGTACTTTAGAAAAAACTTTTCTGTGCCGTTATATTAACTTTTTGGTTATAAAATTTTTCATATATTAAAAAAAAAACTCTAGGTTTACCATAAATAATTTTTATGTTGGTTTTTTAAGGTTATATGTATATATTTTTTAGAAAAATTTTACCTTTTTTTTTTTTTTTGTTTTTTATGGTAATTATTTTATTTGCAATTTTCAGAGTAATTTTTCACTGCCTAAAGAATTCTTAGATTTCAATTTTATCATGAATCTTAGTAGATTTTTCAGCAAATTTTTTAGCAAATTTATTAGCCACCTTTTAATGAAATCTTTTAACAAATTTTTTAGCCAATTTTTTAGCAAATTTTTTAGCATATTTTTAAAAATTTTCTAGGTTTATTTCTTTCTTAATACACAAATTTTAAACTTTTTACACTTTTCTATAACAACTTTTATAGGTTAACTTTACAATTTTTAGTGAAATTTTAGACTTTTTAGCACATTTTCAGCGATAATTTTCAGACCTTTAAGCAATTTTTCAATAAGTTTTCCTATTTTTTTTCGAGTTTTTTAGGTTAAATTTAGGAATTTTGCGCTTCTCTACCAAAAAATTTTAAGTTACTTTTTAGATTTTTTTTTTTTGACTTTTAGCTCTTTCATTAATTTTTAGATTTAGTAGGTTTTTAACTTCTCTATCAAAATTTTAGGTTAATTTTTAGAATTTTTTTTTTTTTTTTTTTTTTTTTGAATTTTAGCTCTTTTATTAATTTTTAAATTTAGCAGGTTTTTACACTTCTCTATCAAATTTTTGGTTGATTTTTAGATTTTTTCTTGAATTTTAGCTCTTTTATTAATTTTTAAATTTAGTAGGTTTTTACACTTCTCTATCAAATTTTTGGTTGATTTTTAGATTTTTTCTTGAATTTTAGCTCTTTTATTAATTTCTAAATTTAGTAGGTTTTTACACTTCTCTATCAAATTTTTGGTTGATTTTTAGATTTTTTCTTGAATTTTAGCTCTTTTATTAATTTTTAGATTTAGTAGGTTTTTACACTTCTCTATCAAATTTTTAGGTTAATTTTTAGATTTTCTTTTCCTTTTTTTTTTTTAACACCTAAATCACTGTTTTCTTTTAATTTTCAAAAATTTCTTGTTAGGAATGTGTATTTTTTGTTTGTTTTAAATTCTTTTGTACATATTAAAAAAAGGCTTTTTGATTTTTCTTTTATTTACCTCATTTTCTTTGTGATGATACCGCTATTGGGTGAGTGTTGTCAACTGGGTCTTTTTTTTTTTTCTTTCTTTCTTTTTCAGCGAGAACGGACCATGAAGAATTTTAGCCTATTTAGCGCTTATTTTGTTGTGCAGGAGTGGGAGTATGAGCTCAAGGAGTGGACTGTAGTAGATAGGAATTATAGACTGGCCAAAATTCTCATAAGTATATTTTTTCTCGAAGCGAAAAAATATAGGTGAGGGTTTTGGTTGGGGAATGAAACGATTACAAAATAAATGATTAGATTAGAATTAGGATTAATGTATGACCGCATGAGAGTTTAGGAGTGTATGTGTGTGGGTGTGAAAGATGACTTACGTAAATGTGTCTAATGTGTGTGTTTGTATTTGAACAAAAGTTGCAACTTAATTTTTTTTTTTCAAATAAATTTCAGATTTACAATTTTTTATTTTAGATTTAGGTTTTTGGTTATAATTTTGTACTTTAGGATTAGTTTTAGTGGAAGAAGTGGATGTTCTTCAGTTGGTGGTTTGGTAACAAGTGAAGTTATATAAATTGCAAACTGGCCAAATGGCAAATTTGAAGCTTAAATTGTAGCTACATTTGTATCTTCGAAAATTCATTATTAATTCACAATAGTAGTTCATAGTTATTTTTTTTTTACAATGTAATGGTTACTAGGTACAATTCAGAGATGGAAAAGACAATTCAGTTAAGAAAACTTAAGAATAACAATACTAATATTAATAATAGTAAGAATAATAATAATAATAAAAAATCATTTTTAATGGTTTTTTAGTATAAAATGTGAATTTTATACACAAAGCAAAGGAAGTAAACCAAATTCATCGAAAATATTCATTGTTATCCTAAGCAGTTTGGTATTGAAAATGAGCAAAATCGGTTCACACCGGGAAGAGTTATGAATCAAAATTTAAAACAACCTCGAAAAAAATAAGCATTTTTTACACATTCTGATGTAATTTTCTCGAAAACCATGCAAGATAAATTCGTGAAAATTACCATACATCAGTTTCTACATGAGAGCTTGACCCCTGCCAAAAATTGCTAGCATGGGTCCATAATTTCATATACCTCCCATACAAATGTACATATTCCCGGAAAATTGGTTTTTTGTTAATAACTTCCGTCACAATGTCGAAATCTTCACAAAATTGTACACAATAAAATTTTGTGTCAATAGAATTCATTCAAAGAAAATATTTTCTGGATCGGTCCATAATTGGACATAGGTCCCATACAAGGTCCCCTCCCGAAAATCACTTAAACGTGCATAACTCATTACCAAATTAAGATATCTAAATAAAATTTGGTATAAGTATTGCCCATATCAATAGAAATATTACTGTGAAATTTTTTTCCGATCGGTCCATAATTGGTCATAGCTCCCATACAAGGTCCCCTCCCGAAAATCACTTAAACGCGCTTAACTCATAAGTAAATTAAGATATCCATATAAAATTTGGTACAAATATTACTCATATGCACAGAAATATTGTTGTGAAATTTTTTTCCGATCGGTCCATAATTGATCATGGCTCCCATACAAGGTCCCCTCCCGAATATCACTTAAACGCGCATAACTCATTACTAAATTAAGATATCCAAATAAAATTTGGTGTAAGTATTGCCCATATGCATAGAAATATTACTGTGAAATTTTTTTCCGATCGGTCCATAATTGGTCATAGCTCCCATACAAGGTCCCCTCCCGAAAATCACTTAAACGCGCATAACTCAGTACTAAATTAAGATATCCATATAAAATTTGGTATAAGTATTGCCCATATGCATAGAAATATTACTGTGAAATTTTTTTCCGATCGGTCCATAATTGGTCATAGCTCCCATACAGGGTCCCCTCCCGAAAATCACTTAAACGCGCATAACTCACTACGTAATTAAGATACCCATATGGTACAAATATTACTCATATGCACAGAAATATTACAGATAACCTTTTTCCGATCGGTCCATAACTGGTCATAGCTCCCATACAAGGTCCCCTCCCGAAAATCACTTAAACGCACATAACTCATTACTAAATTAAGATATCCATATAAAGTTTGGCAAAAATATTGCTCATATACAGAGAAATATTACTGTGAAATTGTTTTCCTATCGATCCATAATTGATCATAGCTCCCATACAAGGTCCCTTTCAGAAAAAACACTTAAATGCACATAACTCATTACCAAATAATGATATAAATAAATACTATTTTTGTTCATAAATACTATTTTGTAATGCAAAAAGCATTTAATG